ATTAATATAATTCACTATTTTCTGAACATAAATTTAATGTATTTATTTCTTAGTGCTTACACTGATTTACAGTTCATGTAGTTTCAAATGATTATTTCTTATCGTCGAATCTGGACACATATGCCTATATTTAGCCTCCATGCTCTGGCTTAATCGTCAAAAATCTCCAAGTTCGACGAATTTTTTTATGGGTCGAACGGTCGAGCGGCCGAATCTTTTTTTTTACCCGTACTGAATCAGGCAATCTTCGCTGAATTTCGAAACATATTTCTGCATAGCAATTAAGTTGAAAGGAAAATCATGTGTTAAAAATGGGTATTCAAAAGAATAGCTTACGGAATTTCTTATTTTTTCGAAGCCACGATAATTGCCAAAAAAAAAAAAAAAAAAAAAAAAAAAAAAACATTTTCCGGTATATGCTGGTAAATTTTGTTACGAAGCTCCATACTCATTTTCGTAAAAACCATTTAGGGCAATTTTATCGCAAAAATGAAAATCGGGAAATTTATTTGATTAAATATCTATCTGAGATGTTTCGTCCCATTTATATAATTCTGACGACCTTTTACTATCCGAAAAGAACTGACTGGAAAGGGCCGAGTAGTTGTCGATCGATTGCCTTACTATATTCACGATCTATTCATTCATGCTAGCAAGCGCAATGCCGTATATGCGAAGTTTAACGCGTAGGTTAAACTACGATTTTTATCAATGAACTGTTATTTTTGGTTTTCTTTACAGGAATGTAGAGTCTATTATTTCATGAAAATGAACGCATTTGGAAATTTCAAAGCATTTAAGACAAGTTTGCAAACGCTATTTTAATGATGTGTAGTCGGAATGTAACGCTACTGCAGAATGAAGAACTAGTTTCTATAGCGGGTTTTATCCGGGAGTGGATGTTGTTCGGTAATGCATTAAAGCTGTATCTTTTCTGAGATATAGCTTATAACTCTGTATACATTGCAAGCAATGTATACAAAAAGGAATTACAGATTTTTTTTCACCTGACTAACTTGTAATAATGTGTAGCACAGCGGTAGTTTATGAACATCCGGGCATGAATAACGAGTATTTCCTAAACATGAATTGATTGTTGAGAATGCAAGACAGGCATGTAGAATCAATTCTAAAATGCCAGAAACTTGAAATAATAAATAAATAAACTTCAGAAATGACGTAAACTCGTAAAGAATGTTAATATTATTTCAGGAAATTTATTTCTTTAAGCTTTTATATTAAACTGAAGTGTCATTACCCGAAACTAAGTTTGACGGACATGACCGAAGAATTCCGATTTGTTGCCCTATATTGCCTACCCTAATTCTATACAATCAAACACCTATTGAACATGCAGTAATATAGTGAAAACTTTTACCATGAAAAATGGGAAACAGCTTTTCTTTTTATAAAATATCAATTCCCATCACCAGATAAAGTCTCTCTCTTCAGTTACAACATATTCCAGGTATTTATACTTATAACATTTTTACTGTTTATATTTATATATAGGTCAAATGGATAATTAATAATTAATATAAGAAACAACTAATATAAGGTAATTAATTTTTATTATTTCATTGGACTCGTTAGAACTTCAATGAACGCAAGCATACTTTATACTTCATCAACACATCAAGAAGATGATGATATATAAAAAAAATCACTTTTAAAAAAGACCAATTATGCCCAAATTTATTGCAAAATGAAATAGAAACTAGAAAAATTTTGTCCCAAGAAGTGTATATTATGTATATATATATATATTTTTTTTTTGTTTAGTGTTTATTTATACCCTTATGATAGGATGGTATCTCTCTTAAGTATGTATTTACCAGTAATATCATTATAATTTCGGACATGTTGAATTATTGTGTTGATAAGTGACAGTATTGTTAATTAACGTGTCCTTATTGCTAAAAATACTGTGTAATAATATTAGTTATAAAGTTTTGACAATGACCATTTGACTGTTTTTTATACTTATTTGTGATACATATACTGAGAACGCATGGGCATTTTGCCTTAAATGATTTTGAAATAAACTCTAAATCTCTAAAGAGAATGGTGTTATCACTGGTTATTATAGACTACAATGAGTTTGGGATTACTACACGTGAGTTTGACACGACGCATCTTATTAAAAGTACAGAAATATTTTCTGATATGAGGCCTTGTTAATTCAAAATTTCATACTAAGTATAGCAAGTGTGTTTTGCGCAGTCTTTGCATAAAGAAGAACACTGACGATGTTTTTATTAAGATGCCGTCCCTTTATCGATAGATATAACCATGACGTCAATGAAATGTGCATTGTTGCACCGTATACAGCTGACGACGTTTACAGCTTACGGAATAGTGGTATCGTTGATCTGAACACAGTATACAGCTTATACCGAATACACTTTAATCCGAAACCAGCTTATACCGAATCACTTATGACGTATACAGTTTATGACGTATACAGCTTATACCGAATACAGCTTATGACGTATACAACTAAAACCGTAAGCTGTTTACTTCGAGATGCTGCATATCACCGTATATAAAGCTCATTTTCGTAAGCCTTCCAAAATGATAGTCGTCATCCCTTTGACCTCCAGACAACGACTACGCAAACGCCAACGACTACATATACGCTGGCGACTACGACCACGACAATGATCACTATTTTTACGACTATCATCACGACAATTTCGACCACGACTTTAACGACTCTGATGACTTCGAGTATAGGTACGACTACGACGACGACGACCATAACTACAACTTCTAGTACGACATTTGCGTCTGCGGTCATACAACTATGATTGAATTGACTATTTAAATCTATTATTATTGATACGAGTTAAGTAAAGATTACGGGAACGACTATGATTTTTACGACTATGACTGCAACCAACAAAGTACTTACACCGCCTGATACCTCACTTTCCATGTTTGAAAATAAATGATGATAAAAATGATGATAATGAAGGATAATATGATGAATTCCAAAAATGGGAGATGAATGATAATGTGATAAATCGAAAAAAATAGGTGGGGGGCTTTTTAATCATTTTCACTCTCTTTTTAAACGTTTTCTAAAGTATGCTAATTATCCCCTGTCCTTTTTGAGCACAATTTTATATCCAGTATACTGGCGGCGAATTATTTGACGCTGTTGAATTTAATTTGTTTTGTCGGGGTTTTGGAGTACATGACAGAGAAAATTAATCCGGTGAAAGGGTTCCTACACCCGGGTTAGGTTCCCGTCGTGTTTTTTTTGTATAACTTGCTGTAATTTTTCAAAACTAAAAAAAGCCATTATTTTCATTATTTTTATAAATATAAAGCTTTAACTATGTCAATAATGCATACATGGTGGGGAAACACATTTTCCCAATGTATTTTAAGCTCATTAGGTACTATGTATATTATAATATATGTCTGTCACAGCCCTCACATGTGCATGATTATTATAGTCTAGCTTACTGAACACAGTCGATTATAAAAAAAAATACTGGATAGATATCGTATTGTGTTCACCTGTTTAATGCTTTTCAATGATTTTTGCCAAAACTACAGTAGTTTTTATCAAATGTATTTTTCGGCCGAATGCCGTCTGATTTCACCTTGACTTCCACTAAAATTAACAGTAAAGAAATGAATATAGGCAGTATTTGCATTGGTCATATTAACACTAATAGCCTGTTCGAGTGATACTTTAGAAGAGCTTCCGTTATAGGTAGAGGTCTGTTCGATTGCAAGAAGTGTTGGAAAAAGATAAGACAGAATAAATATAAAAACACAATAATGATATTTTCTAGATGTTTCTAACAGCTTTTCAATAAATATATGAAATTAAATATGACAGATCGCCTTTTTGATACTTTTGCGTTTGATTGGGTTTCTCTTCTAAGCTGTTATAGTCAATATATTCTCTTCTCGAACCGGGCATATGGCGATTGAAACGAACTTTCGGCTAATTTACAGTTTCAAAATTCTCCATGGAATAGGTGTACAGTATCTATCAAATCTTTGTTTTATTAAAAATTCCTATTCAAATCAAATTCTATTTTGATTAAAATCAAATAATGTAAGTAATATTGTTTAAATCTGAGTAACAATTAATGGGGAAAAACATTGTGGGTAAAAATGAACTGAAATAAAATTACTGAGGACGAATAAAATGTTCTGTTTGCGGTTAGCATGTTAAAGAATAGCTTAACCTATGCAAGATAACAAGTTCGACTTCGGCCGAGTAATTTTTTAAAGATACTTCTTGTTTCATATAAAATGATCTATTCCATTTAAACATGCTCCACCATAGCAATTGTAGGACGATCTTAGTGATCTTTGGTATACATGGCATATTAAATGTCTGAAATGTTCATATTTTCCCATAATAAAAATGGGAAATCCTTAATCGTCTGACATTGTGTTGTTGTTGTTGTACTTTTTTCCTTTTCCTTATTTTCCTGATGCGTGGTCTCAAATGGTCAAACTCTAAACAAAGTTAATACATACAATTGATGAAAATGATCAGTTTAGCTTTATTGATAATCAGGAACATGCGTTTTTTTCTGCTGGGGCAGAAGCAAAATTGATAAAAACAAAGATGTACCTATTCGCACCGACTTTAGCTCGACATCTGGGAAAGTTTTGCTTGGTTTCGGAATAAGTATATCTCAAAACGGTTAAAATAAATGCTTCCATTTGAAAATTGTACCTTATTGTACTTAAATAACGAGATGAAAGCTGTACATTTATCGTACATTAAGAACTGCATAAAAATGTACATAAAGAACGAAATGAAAATTGTACATTTATTGTACATAAGAAACGGCATAAAATAAATGTACATTAAGAACGAAATGAAAATTGCACATTATAGTACATTATGATTGAAATGAAAATTGCACGATATTGTACATTATGTAAATTGCACGTTATTGTACATTATGGAAAGTGAACATTATTGTATATTAAGAAAGACATGAAAATTTCGCTTTTTTGTAATCTTTCAGCCTTGGAAGCGGGCGTCACTAACGTCGTGTAACGTTGAGTGATATGAACGAAAATGAACAGTGTATGTGCAATGAAGCGGTATGTATAAAGTGTATCTCATTTTATAACATTTCAATTCGGTTTCATATGTATAAGATAACAGTTAAATTTGTTTTAGCATGCAATGATGTGTGCACTTTGTAAAGTAATAAATATATCTAGTTTTTAAACCGCTCCTGACAATCATAAGAGCACGGGGACGGGACCGCAGATTTCGGCGCATATTTCCAATCATGAAACGCCGCTATTTGCGGACCCGTTCCCGAGCGCTTATGTTGACAATCGCTCGCATGTTATCGCTCTTTTTCTGTTTATTCTAAAGAACGTTCAAGACCAAACATATCTTGCTATCGCTGATGGCTGCCCAGATTTTGGTCCTTGTATCCATCGGCTCAGGAGTACTCCAACTATTATTCTCAATCGTATCATATTGTAAAGATCACAAGCAGCCTTTGAGATCATCTTGGAACACATCATCTACCAGCATGCGTCACGTGACACAGTTTAACAACACACGTCCGCACATTATATTTATTCTAGCAGACGACCTAGGATATCGTGACGTCGGCTACCACGGCTCGAGAATAAGGACACCAAATATTGACAGACTTGCTATGTCAGGGATAAGATTAGAGAATTATTACACCCAGGCAGTGTGTTCTCCAACACGTGGACAACTACTCACTGGTAGATATCAGGTATGTTTCCTAACATGTGGTCAACTTCTTACTTGTAGATATCAGGTATGTTTCCTAACACGTGATCAACTGCTCACTGGAAGATATCAGGTATGTTTCCTAACACGTGTACAACTACTAACTGTAGCTAGTAGATATCAGGTTTCATAGATATCATGCTTCCAAACACGTGGTCAGCTACTCACTGATAGATATCAAGTATGTTTCCTAACACGTGGTCAACGATATCAAGTATGTTTCCAAACACGTGGTCAGCTACTCACTGATAGATATCAAGTATGTTTCCAAACACGTGGTCAACGATATCAAGTATGTTTCCAAACACGTGATCAACTGCTCACTGGCAGATATCAAGTATGTTTCCTAACACGTGGTCAACTACTCAATGGTAGAATTTAGTCAGAATTTTTCATGGGGACAAGAGTGTAACGGAAAAACACACATTATATCCATTCTAGGAGAAACAATAAGTTCTTTTACTCACCAAGTGAGGTAAAACACACATTATATCAATTCTAGGAGAAACAATAAGTTCTTTTACTCACCAAGTGAGGTAAAACACCAGTTCACAATGGGTATCAGTTTAAATAGCCCCGTCCGAAAGACTGCATTAGAAAAGCATTTGATCGAACTGGCGACCTTGGATTTGTACCACTGCATCATTGCGTCCACTGTCGCCTATAACACTACCCGTATGACACACCTTAGTGCAGTAACGTGTTAACTCCCATTAAATCATATATTCATTCCAGATACATACAGGGTTCCAGTGGGTGTTGTGGCCTGCCAGTCCAAGGGGTTTGTCATTAGGGGAGACAACTATTGCGGAGAAGCTAAGAGAAACCGGATACGCGACTCATATTGTCGGGAAATGGCACTTGGGTTATTTCAAAAATAACTATTTACCAACGAAAAGGGGTTTCGACAGCTTTTTCGGTAATTGTCTTTTCTGTTTAGAAAAATAGTTTAGTTTATACTAATTTATTTTAGTTCGATTGTGTTGGAAGTTATAAACTTTTTGAAACAACAGCTTGCCCCTGGCGGGGATGAACCCATGCCGACAGCAATCGTATTACGAATAGAAAGAAGTATGATGAAACTATTACTTATTTTACTAAAGCATTACTTTAAAAGAGACCCAACATGACAAGTTCTTTTTGGCGTTTAATAACTAAGGTTGTTAATTAAGTATATCATAGATAAATCATATTTATATAGAAAGTACGATTGTATCGTCTGCCAGAAAGTTTGACCTATCATAATTATGCAGTCTTCCTAATGATTTTAACAACTGGTTCTAACATTGAGAATGTACTTTCTCTTTTTAACAACAAAAGAATTTCCTATTATGTCAGTGATTTAATATGTTCAGGTTGTGTTTCTCTCTTTTTGATGTGGAAGAGGGGTGAGGGAGAGGTGGGGGGGGGGGGGGCGCGGGGTAATAAATTTTAAACGATTCTACAAAATATAAATATGGAATAATTACAGGATTTTTGGCGGGACATGGTGACCACTATACACATCGAGCGACGTTTAACAAAATGGAGGGATACGACTTGATGGAGAATGATAAGCGTGCCGACATGTCAAAATATTACGGAACATATTCTACAACACTGTTCACTAATAAAGTTAAACAAATCATTCAGAAACATAACCCGGAGAAGGTAAGTTAAAAAACATAATCTTGAAAATGTAACACGGTAAGTGTAGAAACATAATCAAGACAAGGTATGTTAAGAAACGTAATCATGACTAGGTAAGTTAAGAAACATAATCAAGACAAGGTAAGTATAGAAACATAATCAAGATAAGTTAGGCCTAGAAACATAATCCAGACAAGGTAAGTTTAGAAACATAAATAAGACAAGGTAAGTATAGATACATAATCATGACAAGGTAAGGTAAGTTTAGAAACATAATCAAGACAAGGTAAGTCTAGAAACATAATCAAGACAATGTAAGTTTAGAAACATAATCAAGTCAAGGTAAATCTAGAAACATAATCAAGACAAGGTAAGTATAGAAACATAATCAAGACAAGGTAAGTATAGAAACATAATTAAGACAAGGTAAGTCTAGAAACATAATCAAGACAAGGTAAGTATAGAAACATAATCAAGACAAGGTAAGTCTAGAAACATAATCAGGACAAGGTAAGTATAGAAACATAATCATGACAAGCTAAGGTAAGTCTAGAAACATAATCAAGACAATGTAAGTTTAGAAACATAATCAAGACAAGGTAAGTATAGAAACATAATCATGACAAGGTAAGGTAAGTCTAGAAACATAATCAAGACAATGTAAGTTTAGAAACATAATCAAGACAAGGTGAGTATAGAAACATAATCATGACAAGATAAGGTAAGTCTAGAAACATAATCAAGACAATGTAAGTTTAGAAACATAATCAAGACAAGGTGAGTATAGAAACATAATCATGACAAGGTAAGGTAAGTCTAGAAACATAATCAAGACAAGGCAAGTATAGAAACATAATCAGGACAAGGTAAGTATAGAAACATAATCATGACAAGTCAAGGTAAGTCTAGAAACATAATCAGGACAAGGTAAGTCTAGAAACATATTCCAGACAAAGTAAGTCTAGAAACATAATCAAGACAAGGTAAGTCTAGAAACATAATCAAGTCAAGGTAAATCTAGAAACATAATCAAGACAAGGTGAGTTTAGAAACATTATCAAGACAAAGTAAGCCTAGAAACATAATCAAGACAAGGTAAATCTAGAAACATAATCAAGACAGGTGAGTTTATAAACATAATCAAGACAAAGTAAGCCTAGAAACATAATTAAGACAAGGTAAGTTTAGAGACATAATCAAGACAAGGTAAGCCTAGAAACATAATCCAGACAAGGTAAGTTTAGAAACATAATCAAGACAAGGTAAGTATAGAAACATAATTAAGACAAGGTGAGCCTAGAAACATAATCAAGACAAGGTAGGTATAGAAATATAATCAAGACAAGGTAAGTATAGAGACATAATCAAGACAGGGTAAGCCTAGAAACATAATTAAGACAAGGTAAGTTTAGAAACATAATTAAGACAAGGTAAGCCTAGAAACATAATCAAGACAAGGTAAGTATAGAAACATAATTAAGACAAGGTGAGCCTAGAAACATAATCAAGACAAGATAACCCTAGAATTGGAATCGAGACAAAGTAAATGTTTAAACAAAATCAAGACAAGGTAAGTTTGGAAACATTAGGTAATTGTAGCTGCACAATTTCGATCATCAATATGAATATATATAGTATAAGCGAACAACCGTTAAATATGCTTTATAACCTGCCCAATATTTAAAGTACTTATGATACATTTGCGCTTTACTGATCTTGACATACACAAATACATTTAACATTATATTGTTTCAGCCATTATTTATTTACCTACCTTACCAAGCAGTACACGGACCACTTCAGGTACCAGACAAATACATAAAAATGTATAAAAACCCTTTTGTAAATGAAACCAGGGAAACTTACGCAGGTATGTTAGTAACGTAGCAGAATACTTCCGACACGGAATTTACATAGTTCTTGATGTTTTTGTTGTTGTTACTGTGCTATAACGGTAGATACAGTGTATAAGAGTGCTTTACAGACTAATGTTTAGATATGTTTTGTTGGCAAAGGTAACGTAGATGATAATGTGCTTAGTTGTAACAAAGTCCACGTACTTTGCCTTCGGCAATCGACCCTATTTTGTCGTTGGCTGCCTGATTTTGATTACAAAATATGAAAATATCTAAAAACTAATCAATACGGTTGAAATTTTCTAATTCAAAGAAATGGTAGTTCTTTATATAAATCTGGCATGTAAATAATTTAGAAAAGTAAATGCATTTCAGCCATTCCGAAATGTTTTCGGCCATAGCGGAAAATTGAGTGGCTTAATTTTTGCCATCACTATCCCGTTATTTGCCGGAAATGTAACACTCGTCCTAAAAAAAAAAAAAAAAGAAGCAAAAAACAAAGAAAAGAAAAGAATTGGTAACGGCCACGGCCGATTATGTTTTAAAAATTACAACTTGCTTTGTTTAAAATGTAGATAAGAATTCATAAACTAAGCGTATATCATGTTTGTTCTAGGAATGGTTACATGTATGGATCAAGGTATAGGTCAAATTGTTATGAGTTTGAAAAAGAAAGGCATGTGGAACAATACTCTCCTAATATTTTCCTCAGGTATACAACTTTGTGTTTATCTTTTAATTTCAAATTTACAGTTGAATTTGTTTGTTTGATATTAATGAACAGCATTGAGAAAAGGCACAGAATTGAGTCATGTACATGCAGTCTATTGGAGCACCTTCTAAGATATGATAGCTGGTAATATTATGTAATCAGGATAAACTATTAATTACGTTATTTTCTCTAATGTATTTTTGTTAATCAGAAAAAAGGCACCTGGTCCCACCGGACTTATAGCCGGTATTAGCTTCTCAAAGGAAGGGGTATCATTGGGCGCCACCAAACTCATTGTCGCCAGATTTTACTCAAAATTTACTGTCCCTAAACACGCAAGTAGTCATGAACCAAAGCAAAATTAAACGCAGTGTCAATGGTTGATATTTCATAACACATAGTCAAACGCCTTTTCTCAATGAATCAGTCAACCACCCATCAATCATTATCATTCATTGCCGTCATCGAACACTACTAAGCAACTGCACTGCATAACACAAATCTAACACAAGCAAATATTTCCTATCGAAATCATATACCTTATTATGGAATACCATATACAAATTGCCATAATCCATGTTTATCATTTATCAATATCCAAATCAAAATAACAATTTCAATTCACATTCTGCACATTTTATAAATAATTTAATCTACCATATAAATAACACACACAAAATCTTTTTAGCCTCCCTCAAACAACAGCAACATCAAAAAAGACATTGTCTCATTCAATTTGTATTTAGAAGCGCGCGCATACATATTGAAAGAAAAACACGTGACTATTCCGACCAATCGGAAAAAAGTGTTGCATAAACCGTTGTTGCATTTCGCATTTATCCCTTACCCTAACCCTAACCCTAACCCTAACCCGACATCCTAACATGACACCCGACACCCTAATCCTAATCTTAATCCTAACACTAACCCCATCAGGTTCGGTTCAGCTTTTTATCAGCACAGCTCGGCTTTAGCCACAAATCAGGCTCGGCTGAGCTTCCTATAATCTTGGGTTCAGCAACAGAGCAGCTTCGGATCAGTTTTGATTCAGCTTAGTGTCATCTTTGATCATCTCAGCTTTTGATCACTCAGTAAACAGAATCGATTCAGCTTCGTGTCATCTTCGGTTCAGGTTCGGATCAGCCTCGGATCGGGTTTGGTTCAGGTTCTGTAGTATTTGCGCAGTTTCATTGAAAATCAGGACCGGTTCAGCTTCATATCACCTTCAGTTCTCCATCGAATCAGCTTCGGTTCAGCAACGGTTCAGGTTCGGTTCAGCTTTTATCATATCAGCTCGGTTTATGCCACATATCCGGATCGGTTAAGCTTCCTACAATCTTTGGATCAGCCGTGGATCAGCTACGGTTCAGCTTCGGTTTAGCTTCAAATCAGCTTTTATTATCTCAGCTCGTGTTCCGTAATTAATCGGGATCAGTTCAGCTTTGTATCATCATCGGTTCAGCTTCGTATCAGCATCGGATTACGTTCGGTTCAACTTCGAATCAGCTTCGATTCACCTTCGAATCAGCTTCGGTTCAGCATCGGATCAGGTTCGGTTTAACTTCGGTTCAGCATCTATCGTATAAGCTCGGGTTTATTCACAAATCAGGATAGGTTCATCTTTGAATCACCATCGGATCAGCTTCGATTTAGCATCAGATCAGGTTTTGTTCAGCTTCGAATCAGCTTTGGTTCAGCATCGGATCAGCTTCGGTTCCGCATCGGATCAGCTTCGGTTCAGCATCAGATCATGTTCGGTTCACCTTCGAATCAGATTCGGTTCAGCATCGGATCAGATCCGGTTCAGCATCGGATCAGCTCCGGTTCAGCATCTGAACAGCTTTGGTTTAACTTTTATCATATAAGCTCGGTTTCATTGACAAATCAGGATCGGTTCAGCATTATATCACCTTCAGTTCAGCTCCGAATCAGCTTCAATTCAGCTTCGGATCAGCTTTGGTTTAGATTTTATCATTTCAGCTCGGGTTATGCCACAAATCAGGATCGGTTCAGCTTCCTATAATCTTTGATTCAGCATCGGATCAGATTCGGATCAGCTTCGGTTCAGCTTCGGATTACCTTTTATCAACTGAGCCAAGGTTCGGTAACAAATCAGGATCGGTTCAGCTTCGTATCACCTTCGGTTCAGGTTGGGATCAGCTTCGGTTCAGCTTTTATCGTATCAGCTCGGGTTCAGTCACAAATAAGGATCAGTTCAGCTTCGTATCACCTTCGGTTCAGCCTCGAATCAGATTCGGATCAGCGCCGGATCAGATCCGGTTCAGCTTCTATCATTTCAACTCGGGTTCAGTCGCAGATCAGGATCGGTTCAGCTTCCTAAAGTCTTTGGTTCAGCATCGGATCAGCTTTGGATTAGTTTCGGTTCAGCTTCATTTCATCTTGATTCATGTAACTTCGGGCTCAGTAACAAATCAGGATAGATGCAGCCGTGAAAAGAGGGAAAGAGGAAGCTGACCGAAGCTGAACCACGATAAAAAAGGGTGAACAAAGTTCAAATAGGGCTGAACTATTTTATTCTTACCACTAACCCTTACTCTAATCTAATATAATCTTATTTTCATTAATCGGAAAGCAAAGGCACCTGGTCCCCCCGGACTTATAGCCGGTATTAGCTTCTCAAAGGAAGGGGTAGCATTGGGCGCCACCCAACTCATTGTCGCCAGGTTTTACTCAAAATTCACTGTCCCTAAAGACCGCACGTAGTCATGAACCAAAGCAAAATTAAACACAACAAGCAAATATTTCCTATCGAAATCAAATACCTTATTATGGAATACCATATAGAAATTGCCATAATCCATGTTTATCATTTATTAATATCCAAATCAAAATAACAATTTCAATTCACATTCTGCACGTTTTATAAATAATTTAATCCACCATTTAAATAACACACACAAAATCGTTTTAGCCTCCCTCAAACAAAGCAACATCAAAAAAGACATTGTCTCATTCAATTTGTATTTAGAAGCGCGCGCATACACATTGAAAGAAAAACACGTGATAATTCCGACCAATCAGAAAAAAGTGTTGCATAAACCGTTGTTGCATTTCGCATTTATCCCTTACCCTATTGAAAAAAAGGTGACTATTCCAACCAATCAGAAAAAGGTGTTGCATAAACCGTTGTTGCATTTCGTATTTATCCCTTACCCTAACCCTAACCCTAACCCTACTTAAAATAGAAACAAAAGTGAGTGGCCAATGGCCCTTCAGAATGTTGCTTGGGCTCTTACCGGTAGGGGACTTCTGGGCTGCTTGCAATACTATGATAATTGCTTGTTAAAACATGGCAAATATAACAATATTTGTGATAAGTCAAAAAGAGCTGATTTTTTTTTATGAAATTGCATCTTTAATTCAAGAATTATCTCCTCTTTAAGAATTTTGCTTTTAAAATGTTATATTTTGGTAACAGGGATGTTTCAAATATTAACTTTAGTGTCCTTCTGTCTGTCTGTTTATAAAAACTTTTTCCATTTTACCAAGAATTCAAGATATTATCATGTTACCAACAAAGGAAATGACAGCGACGTTTTTCACAGCAAAACAGGAAAGCTAGTTGACAATTCGAGTCAAAGCATAGTGCAGAATCCAATAAATTGTGAGCAGCCTTTACTGTAGCCACACCTCTTTAAATAATATGTCACACTGCGTACAGTAATTATGATTCTTTAGATGAACTAGAAATGTGTCCAAAGGACATGGGTGGCCCCATACTCCACTGTTTTGCAAATCTACTGACTCTAGGTCAAATATTTTTTTTTAAATGCCCCACCCCATAAAACTTTAATGTTTATAATGAAGTTTAGAGCTACTATCCCACACATTGTAGTTTGGGTGTTTTTGAAATAAAATGTCATCAAAAGATGAAATTTCAACACAGTCTTTTACATTTATATGAAACTTGATGATAAATACATGTTTTGATCAACAGAAAAAACATCTAAGTTATTTTTTTGCAATTTTCACATGGTGTAATTTAATATCATTGCAATATTTTAATTGGGTTGAATTTTGACTTAAATCATAAACACACCTATTCACTGTTTGCACGTAGAACAGGTGTGCGCTTGGTGAGTTGTTTTATCCTGCAATCAATGGTTTCACAATATATCATAGAAAATTTAATTATATGAGCCGCGTCATGACAAAACCAACTGATAGCGAACATCATGGTTCTGATCAGGCTGCACGGATGCGCAGACTGGTCTGGATCCATGCTGGTCGCAAACCCATTATGTTGGTTTTGTCGTGACACTATTCATATCTATAAAAAGAGACAAGAAAAGAAGAACATGCCTCAGTAATCTGGTTTAAAACTGACATTTATATTAATAGTTATAAAGATTTTTGACAGGTTATATGGCCCTATATTAACAGCTGATTGGATATATAACCAAAGCCTCTTGGTCACGGTTTTGTTGCAAACAACAGTTATATACGTTCATATCACCTGTCAGGAATTTTAATAACAAATTTATAAAACAGCAAACTTCCTCTTTTTTTGAGAAAAAATTAGATTTTTCGAAAATTAACAAATTTATAAAACAGCAAGCATCATTTTCAAAGGAATAAAGCGAGATTTCTTCATAAATCGACAGCAGCCATGTATATTATATGTAATTTTGGTTTTGGAGTGATATATGTGGATATATTACCTGTTAAGATTTATATCACCCGAGCCGTTAGGCTCGGGTGATATATTTTTTATTGGCAGGTAATATATCCACATATATCACTATAAAACCAAAATAATAATTTTATTACCCTTCCCCTGCCGAGTTTAGAGGATTTTTAAAAAAAATCATTGCTGTTTCAAATGAAACGTCGAAATAAGAATCCCTTTAGGGTACCTCTTTGTCACAACATGACGTCACATAAATACATGACGTATCTTTTCCGTACCTAACAAATGTAAACAAGAGAAAAGGAGTAGTCTATTAAACGCACTATTTTGTAATTAATATCAAGCTTTCATAAAGGTCATATTTGTTTTCGATACTGATAGTAATATGTATCATTACTCTACTTTTGTAAATATTTATCATTTGACAGTTAAAAAGTGCTTTTAAATAGGAATTTACACCGCGTAAAATCGAACCGTACGCGAATCACCTCAGCGCATGTTGTTAACAACGTTGGGTACCCAACGAGGAAATTTAGTGTGTATATTACCCGTCTGGCTCGGTTTTATCAATTTCTTTCGGGTGATCAATATCCAATCAAAAAGGCGGAAAAAATCTGGATGGGTAATAAAACACTATATAAACATCACGTTTATCCAATAAAAAGCGACGTTACAAATGTGCAGTATTATAAAAAAAACTATATACACGTCACGATTATTATCAAGTAAGTTCTAACCACAGGTAAACGATGCGTGGCCACGACTTACACTATAAACCCGTTGCCCCGCTACAACCCAAAACCCTTACACATCATCCAAATATCATATGTATTGACAAAAATAAATATGATGAAAAAAATATTTCTATGGCTATAATATTTTAGTCATTAATTTTTTTTTCATAAAATTTATTTTTGTCAATACTTATGATGTTTGGATGATGTTTTAAGGGTTTTGTATTGTATAGGGGGACGGGGGTATAGTGTAAGTCGTGCGCTTCACCACTACGCTTTCTATTGAATACAATAAATTGAGCTAGACACAATTGACAAAATTCACGGTATACATCAGAAGGAGACTCTGACAAAGCACACTAACACTTTTCGTTAATATAGTTATTTAACTTGGCAACGTCTTCCACAAGTGGCAGGAACTTTGGACGATTGTATTTAATTGTATCCAAGTTTTTCAAAGCCTTTTCAGAAATGTTTTTATTCCAGCGAAGCTTGTACATCTCTAAGAAGGCCTTAGCAACTTCTTGTTTGACTGTATCTCCAACTTTCAATGCCTGAAAATACATGTCTTCAGCACAAGTTTTTAATGAATGTCCTTGCTGTAACGCTAATGATGGAATACCAAAGTTTTTAGTTTCAGGATTGAATTCAGACACTTCCTTAACTGACAAAATAAAGAGGTCCCAGGTTCTTTCTTCATGCAGTCTTCTATTGACATTAAGTTATTTTTCTTTCCTGTACCTTTCTACCTAATTCTTTCATTTTCTGTGATATATATACATGATTGTGCTTTTGGTGCCTTTGATCATTGTACATGTTGAGTCCAAAGTCTTGTATTATAAGAATTTTACACCGGCTACCGGTACAGACCGGAATATCTAGCTCGAGGGTAACTGTTTACAACAGTAACGAGGCTCTGCCGAGTTTCCGCTAAACAGTTACCCCAAGAGCTAGACATTCCCGTCTGTACCAACAGCCAGTAATTGATTCTTTTCGTGCATATTACATGTCAATTATTTTCAGAACAGAAATTATGAAAACTGATATTATCATTACGCACTTTTTTATAGTAGCATATGAACATACAACTTCATTCATAACAGAAAAATGACGTCATCCTAAGAACGCTATTCATTCATAAAAGGCGCGCATCAATGACGTCATTTAAAGCACGCGTATTGTTTGGTGTAAGACAGAGTCTTCTAGCACCGGTGTAAACAGTAGATAATCCTGTCTGAGATGCAAGAAAGTCTGATCTGAAAGGATTGCTATTTTAACTTTATCTTCTTTAATGTTAAGAATTATGTTGTGAAGATAGGCTTGATTACTGCATGTTACAGGTAACAATTTTTCCACCAGCTATAGGTCTTGTTTCATAACCTGTCGATGATTCTTTCGATTATATGACTTCTGGTGCCGCCAAGGATTTTAACTACTGCTATCTCGTTTTTGTGTTTCAGACTTAAATGTCTCTTACAATGTTTGGATATTGG